CCCCCTGTTCTGCAGAGTGAGTGAGTGGAGTTTGTATGATCTCCCCCTGTCCTACAGGGTGAGTGGAGTTTGTGTGATCTCCCCCTGTCCTACAGAGTGAGTGAGTGGAGTTTGTATGATCTCCCCCTGTTCTGCAGAGTGAGTGAGTGAGTGGAGTTTGTATGATCTCCCCCTGTTCTACAGAGTGAGTGAGTGGAGTTGGTATGATCTCCCCCTGTTCTGCAGAGTGAGTGAGTGGAGTTTGTATGATCTCCCCCTGTTCTGCAGAGTGAGTGAGTGGAGTTTGTATGATCTCCCCCTGTCCTAGAGAGTGAGTGAGTGGAGTTTGTATGATCTCCCCCTGTCCTACAGAGTGAGTGAGTGGAGTTTGTATGATCTCCCCCTGTCCTACAGAGTGAGTGAGTGTAGTTTGTATGATCTCCCCCTGTCCTGCAGAGTGAGTGAGTGTAGTTTGTATGATCTCCCCCTGTCCTACAGAGTGAGTGAGTGTAGTTTGTATGATCTCCCCCTGTTCTGCAAAGTGAGTGAGTGTAGTTTGTATGATCTCCCACTGTCCTACAGAGTGAGTGAGTGGAGTTTGTGTGATCTCCCCCTGTCCTACAGAGTGAGTGAGTGGAGTTTGTATGATCTCCCCCTGTCCTACAGAGTGAGTGAGTGGAGTTTGTATTATCTCCCCCTGTCCGACAGAGTGAGTGAGTGGAGTTTGTATGATCTCCCCCTGTTCTGCAGAGTGAGTGAGTGTAGTTTGTATGATCTCCCCCTGTTCTGCAGAGTGAGTGAGTGGAGTTTGTATGATCTCCCCCTGTTCTGCAGAGTGAGTGAGTGAGTGGAGTTTGTATGATCTCCCCCTGTCCTACAGAGTGAGTGAGTGGAGTTTGTATGATCTCCCCCTGTTCTGCAGAGTGAGTGATTGGAGTTTGTATGATCTCCCCCTGTTCTGCAGAGTGAGTGAGTGGAGTTTGTATGATCTCCCCCTGTTCTACAGAGTAAGTGAGTGGAGTTTGTGTGATCTCCCCTTGTTCTGCAGAGTGAGTAGAGTTTGTATGATCTCCCCCTGTTCTGCAGAGTGAGTGAGTGAGTGGAGTTTGTATGATCTCCCCCTGTTCTACAGAGTGAGTGAGTGGACTTGGTATGATCTCCCCCTGTTCTGCAGAGTGAGTGGAGTTTGTATGATCTCCCCCTGTCCTACAGAGTGAGTGGAGTTTGTATGATCTCCCCCTGTTCTACAGAGTGAGTGAGTGGAGTTTGTGTGATCTCCCCCTGTTCTACAGAGGGAGTGAGTGGAGTTTGTGTGATCTCCCCCTATTCTACAGAGTGAGTGGAGTTTGTATGATCTCCCCCTGTTCTACAGAGTGAGTGGAGTTTGTGTGATCTACCCCTGTTCTACAGAGTGAGTGAGTGTAGTTTGTATGATCTACCCCTGTTCTACAGAGTGAGTGAGTGGAGTTTGTATGATCTCCCCCTGTTCTACAGAGTGAGTGGAGTTTGTGTGATCTACCCCTGTTCTACAGAGTGAGTGAGTGTAGTTTGTATGATCTACCCCTGTTCTACAGAGTGAGTGAGTGGAGTTTGTATGATCTCCCCCTGTGAGCCGAAACACACACACAGGCAAAAAGAGTCACAGACATACACAGAAACCCACAGACACCCACACACACAGAGAGAGACACACACAGAGACAGAGAGAGAGAGAGAGACAGACACACAGAGACACACACACACAGACACACACAGAGAGACACACACAGAGACACACACACACAGAGACATGATCTCCGGAGGAGCTCACCGATGGGACTTTGCCCAGATATTTCAAGGATTTGTGAGCTCCTCACACAATCCAGCCTGGTTAAACCCAGGATGGATCGTAGGCAGGCCAGCCTAAATGTTTCCAACCGGAGAGACACACACACAGACACAAACACAAAGACACACACAGAGAGAGAGGCACACACAGAGACACACACAGATACACACAGAGACACACACACACACAGAGACACACATACACAGAGACACACACAGACACACACAGAGACACACACACAGAGACACAGAGACACACACAGAGACACACACACACAGAAACACACACACACAAAGACACACACAGATACACACAGAGACACACAGAGAGAGACACACACACAGAGACACAGAGACACACACACACAGACACACACATACACAGAGAGACACACACACAGAGACACACACACACACACAGAGAAACACACACAGAGACGTAGGCATATGCACAATCTCGTGACACTCACTCTCCCTCAAGGGCACGACCTCAAGCGCGACCCAGGGTGAGGACAGCGGTGGCGAGGACGAGACGGAGAATCTCACGCGGAGGAGATAGCGGCCACCGGCATCGTCCAGCGCTGAAGAGACGTCGCAGCACGTGTCTTTGGTGGCAGCACAGACGGTCTGCCAGAGGGCGCGTCTGAAGCTGCGCAGACAGAGACACAGGGAGCAGTGGTGAGGGTGGTGGGGAGTGAGTGGGTTGGTGATTGAGTGGTTGAGTGAGTGAGTGGGTTGGTGAGTGAGTGAATTAATGAGTGAGTGGCTGAGTGAGTGAGTGGCTGAGTGAGTGAGTGGGTTGGTAGGTGAGTGGGTTGGTGGGTGAGTGAGTGGCTGAGTGAGTGAGTGGGTTGGTGAGTGAGTGGGTTGATGAGTGTGGTGAGTGGGTTAGTGGGTGGGTGAGTGGGTTGGTGAGTAAGTGGGTCGGTGAGTGAGTGGGTGAGTGAGTGGGTGAGTGGGTGAGTGGGTTGGTGGGTGAGTGGGTTCGTGAGTGGGTTGGTGAGTGAGTGAATTAATGGGTGAGGGCCTGAGTGAGTGACTGAGTGAGTGAGTGGCTGAGTGAGTGGGTTGGCGGGTGAGTGAGTGGGTTGGTTGGTGAGTGGGTTGGTGAGCGAGTGACTTAATGGGTGAGTGGCTGAGTGAGTGAATGAGCATCTCACAGTTTGCTCTGAACTCTGTAGGTAACATTCAGGAACGTTGAGTTGGTGGTGGTGGAGTTGATGCTTGAAGGGTCAACAGGTGGGGGTCTCTCTCCTCCCCCCCCCACAGGAGCCACTTCAACGGGGTCCCAGCAAAGCGTCGCCAGGAGGTCTTGAGACTCCAAACGCACATTCAGTAGATACGGCGCAACTGGGCAGATGGGAAAACAACACTCACACACAGTGCGCTAACCACTGCACCACCACTCCCCACACACTCACAGTGCGCTAACCACTGCACCACCATTCCCCACACACACAGCGCGCTAACCACTGCACCACCACTCCCCACACACACAGTGCGCTAACCACTGCACCACCACTCCCCACACACACACAGTGCACTAACCACTGCACCACCACTCCCCACACACTCACACACAGTGCGCTAACCACTGCACCACCACTCCACACACACACACATAGTGTGCTAACCACTGCACCACCACTCCCCACACACACACACAGTGCGCTAACCACTGCACCACCACTCCCCACACACACACACAGTGCGCTAACCACTGCACCACCACTCCCCACACACACACACAGTGCGCTAACCACTGCCCAACCACTCACACAGTGCGCTAACCACTGCACCACCACTCCACACACACACAGTGCGCTAACCACTGCACCACCACTCCCCACTCACTCACACACAGTGCGCTAACCACTGCACCACCACTTCCCCCACACACACAGTGCGCTAACCACTGCACCACCACTCCCCACACACACACAGTGCGCTAACCACTGCACCACCACTCCCCACACACACACACAGTGCGCTAACCACTGCACCACCACTCCCCACACACACACACAGTGCGCTAACCACTGCACCACCACTCCCCACTCACAGTGCGCTAACCACCAGAGGTGTGGACTCGAGTCATGTGACTTGGACTCGAGTCAGACTCGAGTCATGAATTTGATGACTTCAGACTCGACTTGGACTTGCATAACAATGACTTTGTCCCACCTCTGCTAACCACTGCACCACCACTCCCCACACACACACAGTGCGCTAACCACTGCACCACCACTCCCCCCACACACACAGTGCGCTAACCACTGCACCACCACTCCCCACACACACACACACAGTGCGCTAACCACTGCACCACCACTCACACACACAGTGCGCTAACCACTGCACCACCACTCCCCCCACACACACACACAGTGCGCTAACCACTGCACCACCACTCCCCACACACACACACACAGTGCGCTAACCACTGCACCACCACTCACACACACAGTGCGCTAACCACTGCACCACCACTCCCCCCACACACACACAGTGCGCTAACCACTGCACCACCACTCCCCCCACACACACACACACAGTGCGCTAACCACTGCACCACCACCACACACACACACACAGTGCGCTAACCACTGCACCACCACTCCCCACACACACACAGTGCGCTAACCACTGCACCACCACTCCCCACTCACAGTGCGCTAACCACTGCACCACCACTCACCGTGGCTGCACGTGGCGAGGTGGAGGAAGAGGAGGTCACGTGTGGAGAGTTTCCACGTCGCCATTAACACCACGTGACCTCTGACCCGAAGTCACGTGCAGAGAAAATCGATACGCGCGTCTCATTGGTCCTCCTCCGTGGGGGCCACGCCCCCTCGAGAATTTTCCGCTCTTCCGATTGGTCCGCCGTGGGGGTGACGTCGCCACACAACAAAATCCCCCCCCCACCCCTCCATTGCCACGTAAGCCAATCGGCGAACTCCTCACTGGGTGATGACGTCACGCACGCGCATCCTGTAGCCAATGAACGCGTCCGCGTAGGGACGGATGACGTCATGTGACTCGAGAGCGAGAGGGGGAGGGGCTACACAAGTCGAGGCCGAGACGCTGTAGCAGCTGCTGCTGTAGCTACAGCTGTTACTGCTGCTGCTGTTGCTGCTGCTGCTGTTGCTGCTACAGCTGCTGTTGCTGCTGCTGCTGCTACTACAGCTGCTGCTGCGTTGCCTGCCGACAGCAGCGACCTGTTGTGAGCATTGCGAGCCCCGCTGCCGTGAAGTTGCGGGGAAAGTATCTGAAGGTGAGTGGGTGGTCCTCCCCTACCTCCCTCCACCACCAGCACCACTCCTCTTTTAAAGGAATAATTGCATCTGCGACGATTGGAGTGGTGAGGGTGAGTGGTGAGGGTGAGTGGTGAGGGTTAGTGGTGAGCGTGATTGGTGAGCGTGATTGGTGAGGGTGAGTGGTGAGGGTTAGTGGTGAGGGTTAGTGGTGAGAGTGAGTGGTGAGGGGTGAGTGGTGAGGGTGAGTGGTGAGGGTGAGTGGTGAGGGTGAGTGGTGAGCGTGAGTGGTGAGGGTGAGTGGTGAGGGTTAGTGGTGAGAGAGTGGTGAGGGTGAGTGGTGGGTGGTGAGGGTGAGTGGTGAGAGAGTGGTGAGGGTGAGGGGTGAGGGTGAGTGGTGAGGGTGAGTGGTGGGTGGTGAGGGTGAGTGGTGGGTGGTGAGGGTGAGTGGTGAGAGAGTGGTGAGGGGTGAGGGTGAGTGGTGAGGGTGGGTGGTGAGAGTGAGTGGTGAGGGTGAGTTGTGAGTGAGCTCCAAGATTAGTAAACAAAAAATCTCGACAAATAAAATAGAATAATAATAATGATGATGATGATCAACCCGTGCTTGTTAAAGTTCAACGCGTTCACTACGATATTTAATTATCTCTCGTTGAAATAATCCCGCCAAATTGAGTCGTTAATTAGGTCAGCTGTTAATTAGTAGCGGGCCAATTAAGACGTCGTTAATTAGGTCAGCTGTTAATTAGCCTGAGGGGTTGACCTGAGGCCAATTAATTAAGCAACGTGCTCATTCAATTACAAATTGCGTGTGTGACGTGAGTTGACTTCGGGCTTTATTTGAATTTTTTGAAAATGCAATTGTGTTTAATTTAAGGACAGTGCACATACATTATCAGAGTTGTGTTTTTTGTTTGTATTACGACCGCAGGTATTGTGGTCTATGCAAACATGACTCCTTGTAAAAAGGTGTCAGTTTTGTTGCCAGATAGAAGGGTAAAGAACAATTATCAAGACAATCCGAGATTGAATAGGAATGTTAAAGACCTCTTAATATCTCGATTTAAAGCTTTCGTGACTGCAGGGATTCATCTTCTTGGTTCTTTCGGTAAAGTCACGTAGAAGGGACGTAATAAAATAAAATAATATTTTATGATGTTTTATTTTTATTATTTTATTGTTTCCCTTCTACGTGACTTTACCGAAAGAACCAAGAAGATGAACCTCTTAGTATCGTTGGAGATTGTCATTTATTTAGCTAAGAGTGAGTGGCAAGCTCGACAGGCCACGATGATTCATAGATGTTTGCCTTTTGCTCATTTAACTCTGGGTAACGTCATCTGTGATTGCTTTTTAAATCCTTTATATTAAGTTCACTTGCTTGCTTACGACCGTGCAAATCTTTCGGTCGTTTTTTAACCCACTTCCCGTGATCCAATCGAGCTGACATTTTGCACACAGACTCGTTGTGCGTGACAATTTATTTTCGTGAAAATTTGTTTCCAAAATTTTCCACTTTGTAGGAAAATTTTTTTTTCATATTTAATTTAAAATACCAATGTGATAAAAATTAAACTCTTACTCAAGAAAAACAGAAATGAATAATAAAATAAAACCGATGCCACGCATATAAAGTATTTATAGTGGAAAAACTTTGTTTTTTCGGGTTAATTTTTTTCAAATTTTCTTGCTGTGGATTTCACACCTGATGATGATTGCTTGTGTTGCAGTCGAAACGCCGTGAGAATTTTAATCGGATCGCCAATGGCTCTGATGATGACAGTTGCTGTGAGAGTTGTATTTGCCTAGCTACAATGCCACTGGTCATTCTAGTGAATGGGCGGCACAGATGCTAATGCAACAGCAATGCCATTTCGAGGGTGTGGAATTTATCCTGTTATGTACGAAACTTGAGAACCCTAGCTACATACAATGTCTGCTGCCAGTTTTATAGGGCTGAACATTGAAAATGTCTAAGTGTACAATTATTGCGATTACCATGTCTCTATAGTCGTGGTTGAAGAGACATTGTAATGTTTTTAAACTATTTTATCTTTTCCTGTAATTTCTTGAAATTCTCTTTTGGCGGGTCAGGTAAAGACATGCCTTACAATGGCTGCCCATAAAACAAAAATTGTTTTAATGCATTTGTTTTCTGGCCATTTGTTTTAGTGGCCAGTTACTGGGCTGATTCTGCTGTGAGACCCGAGTGTGTGCTTCGCCGGGGAGAGATGTAAAAATGTAGGTGAAAAATGAAATAAAAATTAATAAAAAGAAATTAAATTACGACGTTTCGGAAGCAACACAAGCTTCCGTGTTCAGGTGAAACTGTCACAGCAAAATATCTGTTTCACCTGAAGACGGAAGCTTGTGTTTCTTCCGAAACGTTGTGATTTTTCTCTTCTTCTTGGTTCGTTCGGTAAAGTCGTCACGTAGAAGGGAAGTAATAAAATAATAAAAATAAAACATAATAAAATAATTATCACGACGTTTCGGCCACAACGCAAGCAGCCGTCCTCAGGTGAAACCAGGTCTGTCGGGGAGACAGAGTCTGAATGAAACAGCACACGAGCTTGGAGCATATATATAAGCTGGGTTGGGAGGGGGGGAAAGGGCGCTTCGACAAAAGAATTTGCATATAAAGAGGAATTTAGCATATTTATGGGAAATGCAGGAATGTAATTAGTACTACATATGCCCGTGCATTATGCAGGATTAGCAGCATCCAAGGGAGGGGATATGGGAAATGCATGTATGTGAATAGTACTAATTATGCCCGTGCATTATGCAGGATTTGTGATTTTTATTCTTTTATTTTAATTTTAATTTCATTTTTTACCTACGTGACTTTACCGAGTATGATTCCTTGCAGTCGCGAAAGCTTCAAATCTCCAAGATATCAAAATGGACGAGCGGCGCATGCATCAGGACGATGAGGAGCTGCAACAGCAGCAGCAGCAGTCTCCAAACAATCGGAAGGCTCCTTCACGCACCAGGCAGAATGCAGCTCAGTCTGTGCGACAGTATCCTCCTGCCTTGGCAGAGGCAGCAACCCAGACTTGTCAGTCTCCACAGGCTCAGTCAGTTAAGCACACCCCACCAGTGCCTAAGGTGTCTTCTGGCAGCAGTCAGCGACCGAGTGGAGAGGCGGCTTCTGATACGAACTCCCAAGGTGATCACTTTGACTGCCCCTTGTTCACACACACGTGCTGTCTAGCTATTAAGACACATTTGAGGTTTTTGTAAATTATATAATTTCACTAATAGGGGTTTTCGCCTTTTTTCTGGCAACAAAACTGACACCTTTTGCAAGGAATCATGCTTACATTAACCACAATACTTGCAGTCAAATGCAAACAATAAACACAACTCTGATAATGTATGCATTGTCTTTGAAACGGATTGGTCCACACCAGAGACAGCTTTCTTTAGAGTCTCGTCTCATATGGTTTTCGACCAGATGACGCCAAGTATTGTGGTTAATGTAAGCATGATTCCTTGCAAAAGGTGTCAGTTTTGTTGCCAGAAAAAAGGGGAAAACCCCTATGAGTATATTTTGGTACTGGCAAAGGAGGTCCCATGATGACGCCTTTTGGCGTCATCTGGTCGAACATCATATGAGACTCGGCTCTAAAGAAAGCTGTCTGGTGTGGACCAATCAGTTTCAAAGACAATGCATACATTATCAGAGTTGTGTTTTTTGTTTGCATTTGACTGCAGGTATTGTGGTTAATGTAAACATGATTCCTTACAAAAGGTGTCAGTTTTGTTGCCAGAAAAAAAAAGGGGAAAAACCCTATTAGTATATTTTGGTACTGGCAAAGGAGGTCCCATGATGACATCATTTAAATGTATTATTCTGAAAGAAATTGTCCCTGCGTGTACTCGCCTTACCTGTCCGCTTTTTGCCACTTAACCAAATCCTCAGGCTGCGTGAAAGTGGTGCACGACATGCTGATGACTGCAAGCAACTGTGGCAGCAATTGGCCATCCGACCAAGAAGACATATTTCGCCTCCTGGTAAGTTACCTGCTTTCGTTTAAATTCCTCGCAATCACATGTCACAATAAGCATTTCATGTTTGAAAGAATTTGCTCTGCGGTCTGTATGTATGTAGGTGCATGGGAGAGAACATTTTGAAATATTAAAGAAAATCAAGGAAAACCTGGAGCTGATCCGAACGCTGCCCACGGATGTCAATGTGTTGCGCAACCTGCAGCAACAACAGTACGTGAACACGAAATAGACACATCGCTGCTCGTACGAGACAAGTTCCCGATTGCTGCTGTAATTAAATGGTAGCAACAGAAGGGAAGTAATAAAATGATAAAAATAAAAATAATAAAATAATTCTCACGACGTTTCAGCCACAACGCAAGCAGCCGTCCTCAGGTGAAAACCAGGTCTGTCGAGGCGACAGCGTCTGAATGAAACAGCACACGTGCTTGGAGCATGTATATACGCTGGGTTGGAAGGGGGGGGAAAGGGCGCCTTGACAAAATAATTTGCATATCAAGAGGAATTTAGCATATTTCCATATCCCCTCCCTTTGATGCTGCTAATCCTGCATAATGCACGGGCATGAGTAGTACTAATCACATACCTGCATTTCCCATAAATATGCTAAATTCCTCTTGATATGCAAATTCTTATTCAAGAAAACAACATAAATGTACAATATAAACAATCATACAAAAACTGACCTTATAATCCTCATATACGACTTTCCTTATATTTAATTTAAAATACCAATGTGATAAAAATGAAACTCTTACTCAAGAAAAACAGAAATGAATAATAAAATTAAATCGATGCCACGCATATAAAGGATTTATAGTGAAAAACTTTGTTTTTATTTTATTTTACTTTTATTAATTTTAATTTTTTACCTACGTGACTTTACCGAAAAAACCTAAGAATATGAATCCTTGCAGTCACGAAAGCTTAAAATCTAGAATGAAAAAATAAAATTAAACCGATGCCACGCATATAGAGGATTTATAGTGAAAAACTTTTACGGGCTAATTTTTTGGGTTTTTTCTCCCTCCCAGATACGTGACGGAATTGCGTGGCAGGCCGTTCAACCTCAGCCGACACGGCAGCGAGTGTTCACAGGAAGTCTTGACCGGCAGCCAGGGACCCTCCAGTGCCGGCGAAGGTTCCTCATCAGGTGACGCAAGCTCTCCCTGCTCGGCGCAGCACATTTCTCTGCAGGAAACGTGGCACGCGATAGAATTGAAAGACGTGACACAATTTGCCACAAAGTGATACGCAGTCTTCTTGGTTCTTTCGGTAAAGTCGTCACGTAGAAGGGAAGTAATAAAAGAATAAAAATAAAACACGATAAAATACAATTCTCACGACGTTTCGACCACAACGCAAGCAGCCGTCCTCAGGTGAAGAACAGGTCTGTCAGACGCTGTCTTTCTGACAGACCTGTGTCCATGATAAAATACAATTCCATGATAAAATTCCATGATAAAATACAATTCTCACGACGTTTCGGCCACAACGCAAGCAGCCATCCTCAGGTGAAGAACAGGGCTGTCAGATGCTGTCTTTCCGACAGACCTGTTCTCCACCTGAAGACGGCTGCTTGCGTTGTGGCCAAAACGTCGTGAGAATTATTTTATGAAGTTTTATTATTTTATTACTTCCCTTCTACGTGACTTTACCGAAAGAACCAAGAGGATGAACTCAATATTACTCGTATATGTGTTGAGGTGTAAATGGTTTTATTGCGAATGCTCATCCACTGGTTGCAGGCGTTGCACAGGATGTTGTGACGGGTGAAGCGAGTGGATCCAATGGTCCCCCACGGCCACCGGACGGAGACAACCCACCGGCCCGGCTTGGAACCCTGCCGGACAGCGGCAAGCCTGGCAACGCTCTTTACAAGTAAGTGCCCTTTAGGTGCATCATCGTCGCCACCTTTAAACATCGTCGTCATTTTTCGATTTAAAGCTTTCGTGACTGCAGGGATTCATCTTCTTGGTTTATTCGGTAAAGTCACCACGTAGAAGGGAAGTAATAGAATAATAAATATAAAACATAATAAAATAATATAATAATATAATATACATGATAAAATAAAATAATAAAATAATATAATATTATAATATAATATACATGATAAAATAATTCTCACGACGTTTCAGCCACAACGCAAGCAGCCGTAACGTCGTGAGAATTATTTTATTATGTTTTATTTTTATTATTTTATTACTTCCCTTCTACGTGACTTTACCGAAAGAACCAAGAAGATGAATCCCTGCAGTCACGAAAGCTTTAAAGCGAAACGCAAAGTTCGTAATGCAGTTTGGGCTGATTTTTGCACTTGGATTTCCAAAAAAAATTTCATTATTTTTTATAGGGATATACAGTACAAGCAATGTAAGTGTTGCTTCACATGTTATTTCTAATCGCAATGTTGACGGAGTAAAAATGTGCAAGTTAATGTAATACAGCCGTACAAAGTACTTGTTCGTGCTTCTTGTATTTGGTATTAACATTTTGGAGCCTTGTGTGTGTTGTTTTTTCGTGTCTCAAGCTTCCTGAAACAAATCGACTGCTTGGAGTTTTTGGAGAATTTCACTTCACGTGGATTGTCGAGTGTCCAACAGCTGATAGGACGTTACTCTACAGGCAAGTTCCTACGGACGCTTCCATGCAAACTACGTGTGTTTTTTAACGTTTACAGGATTGGGATTTATTTTTAAGTAGTGCAAGTTTTTCTGCAACATAAAAAATGCACAAAGAAGCATGGAGAAGATGGAAGGTTGGAATTAAACTTGTAAAGAGTTAATACGTGTGTAGGTGAGGGTGAGTGGTGAGGGTGAGTGGTGAGGGAGAGGGGTGAGTGGTGAGGGTGAGTGATGAGGGTGAGTGGTGAGCGTGAGTGGTGAGGGTGAGTGGTGAGGGTGAGTGGTGAGGGAGAGGGGTGAGTGGTGAGGGTGAGTGGTGAGCGTGAGTGCTGAGTGGTGAGGGTGAGTGGTGAGGGTGAGTGGTGAGTAGTGAGGATTGTAGTGCCACAAGAGGGGGCTCTGGGACCCTAGGCAGAGAAGCCCTTGGCGGCAGGCGCTAGGATCCCAGGCACCCCAGACAGTTAAGCCCCTTGGCGCCACCAACGGGGGGGCTGTGTGTGCTCTGTGGGATACCTGGGGGCGCACACAACCCCACCCCTCGTTGGGCACGAGGCATAAAAGGGCAGCTCCCTGGACGATCGGGGCCAGTCGCAGCTCAAGACCCGCCAGCCAGCCAGCTTAGGACCCTGGACCCCCTCGTCCCGCTTGTCCTTGTAAGGGCCGGGACGCTGTGAGGGCCAGTGGTGGGACTCTGGGACTCCCGGCTCTACGTCCTTGTGAGGGCGAGTTCCGAGGAAGCCAGAGTCCAGACCCACACCTTGGCTGGGTCGGGTCAGGTAGCCTCCCCTAGGGTAATTGTAGCCGGAGGACCCCAGAGCGTAGCCAGAGTAGTGTATCTAGGCTGTGTACCTAGGCTGTGTATCTAGGCTGTGTACTTAGGCTGTGTACCTAGGCTGTAACAGAGTATCAGGACTGTTGGAGTGTTGTATTGTAATAAAGAAGTACCTCTACAAGTGTCTCCGGAACCCATTACACGTGGATACCGAAACATGCAAATAAGAAACATTGACAACTGCAAAAAGTAGATGGGCTTGGGCAAGGGCACATCACTGGACTGCATTGTGGCTGGGAAACAAGACCGGTGTTGGAGTGGCATCCAAAGTAGAGCACACATCACCAAGAGGATGACCACCACAGAGATTCGAGTTGTGAGAATATTAGTTCGTGTGTAGTTGATAGATGGATCGTGGTCACATAGCTCGAGTGAGGAGGCTGAGGAGTCCTGATCCAGTAGTGGGTACAAAAAAAACACATTCCTCCTGCGGAGGTAGTGGGTAGGAACGTTGGGTTGCTCGGTCAATGGCCAACTGTGAGGGCGGGCACAAGCCGGCGTGAGTAGGTGAAACGTTGAGTTTTATAAGGGCACCACGGGGTGACCAGCCCCTCCCCACCCAGCCCCACCCCTCCCCACCCAGCCCCTCCCCACCCTTCCCACCCAGCCCCACCCTCCCCTCCCCACCCTCCCCACCCAGCCCCTCCCCACCCTCCCCTCCCCACCCAGCCCCTCCCCACCTTCCCCACCCAGCCCCTCCCCACCCTCCCCTCCCCACCCAGCCCCTCCCCACCCTCCCCTCCCCACCCAGCCCCACCCCTCCCATTTTTGGATGCACGACGGACAGACACAATAATCCCCTGTGGGCTGGTGGAACCAGGTGGTTCCTACCGGTAATACCGACTGATTTTGTACATTAACTAGCTGTACTACCCGGCTTCGCCCGGGACTTAGATCTACCACGGCCGGCCGCCTTTGTCTCCCCAGTGGCGATGTTAATACGCTACAGCAGTTACTCGTTTGAGGCAGAGTCGACCTAGGGGAGGTTCAAATAATCGTCACCGGTGGTGGCCGTGAGCGGGAATCGAACTGGGTTCGCCGGGTTGGTAGCGCAGCGTAGCGTTAAGCACTACACCCACCGCTCCTCACACACCACACACGCACAGACACACACACAGACACACGCAGACACACACAGACAGACACAGACAGACACACACACACACAGACACACAGACAGCACGCTAAGCACTACACTACCGCTCCCCACACACCACACACGCACACACACAGACACACACACAGACACACGCAGACACACACAGACAGACACAGACAGACACACACACACACAGACACAGACAGCACGCTAAGCACTACACTACCGTTCCCCCTACACAACACACGCGCGCGCGTCCATAGGTACACATACACGCGCTTGCTGCAGACACACACGACTTTCAGGGTGCGTAAGGCAGTAAACGACTGAAATAATAAAGCGGCAATGCTGTGCGAGGAACGCCTTAGACCAGCAACACATTTGTGTAATGCGAGCGTAAACACACAAAAACATACAAACACATACACACACATACATACAACAACAACAACAACCGCCATTCGCCACTAAGTGGCGGTGACGTCACCACGATGCTTGTGCCAGGCCAAGTGCACCTTGAGGCCACGTGAAGTGTCGAAAGCCCGCTGGCAGGAGGTCACGGGGCAGACCCAGCAGGTGCCACGGGTCGACTGACCGAGATGACCGAGATGACTGGCTGATGCACCACCTGTGCCCCCTACTGTGCCAACTTGCTGTGCTTTAGCCACCCGGCGCTCCGCTCGTTGTTGTGAGCGTCGCTCCTCCGCCCTCCGTTGTTGTTGGAGGGCGACTGCCTCCAACTGCCCAGTAGCGTCCTTCACGAGCCTCCTCCACTGAGGCCGATCTTGACACCGCTGGTACCAGTCATCGGCAAGTCCACTCAGCTCCACGTCCTCCTGTACCACATCACTCCATCCCCTCTCCAGCCCGTGCCGCGCCCGTCCAGCCCCCCCGATCCGGCCGAACAAAAGCTGTTTAGGCATGCGGTGGCTGGGCATGCGGGCTACATGACCCAGCCAACGCAGCCTTGCCTGCCGGAGGAGCTCACTGATGGGACTTTGCCCAGATCTTTCAAGGATTTGTGAGCTCCTCACACAATCCAGCCTGGTTAAACCCAGGATGGATCGTAGGCAGGCCAGCCAAAATGTTTCCAACCGGCGAAGATGCTCCACCTGGGGGGTCCACGTCTCGCAAGCGTAGAGAAGGGAGGGAATGACCGTGGCCGAGAAGACCTGAAGCTTCGTGCGGAGCGACAGACCAGGTAGCTTCCACACAGCGTTACGCAACCGATGAAAAGATATTGCCGCTCGACTGATTCGGAGTGAGACCTCTGCTGATAGACTGGAGCCGGTCATAAGCACACTGCCCAGGTATGGGAAACTCTCCACTCTCTCCACAACTGCCCCATCACCAATTGGGAGTTGTGGGGGTGGAGTGTCCGATGGTACAAAATACCCAGGCAGGTGCTTGGTTTTGGTGGGGCTGATGGTAAGGCCCCACCTCTTAGTGGCACGCTCCAGTCTCAGCAGCAGCGCCTCCAACTCCTCTTCTGAATGAGCAGCTATTACCAAATCATCGGCATACATAACGTGGTTGACCAATAGGGAGCCATCCCTTGATCGCACCCGGGCGTCGATCAGCCTCCCATTATATCTGTACCAAATGGAAATTCCCCCGGTACAGCTATTGAAGGCTTCACGAACTACGCGGTCAAAATAGATGTTAAATAATGTGGGAGCCAGAGGACATCCCTGTCGCACCCCAAGGTGTACAGGGAAAGGCTCCGACTCCCGGCCACGTAGTTTTACCCGGGCCCGCTCACCATCATGAAGGTCCTTAATGATCGTGAGCAGAGGGTCAGGGACTCCGAAAGCACGAAGAACAACCCAGAGTCCAGTCCTACTGATGGTATCATAGGCCTTGACCAGGTCAATAAAGCAGAGATGTAGGTCTTTTTGGAATTCCCTACACCTCTGCTGTAGCAGACGGACAGAAAATATGGCATCTGTGCAGGACCGCCCTTTCCTGAAACCGCATTGGGGCTCCGCAATGCCCCTCCTCAGCGTGCCCAGCAAGACACACAGACATACACATAAACACAAACACACATACACATGACCCGGCTTCGCCCGGGACTTGGATCCACGATGCCCCGCCGCCTTTGTCTCCCCAGTGACGATGTTCGCACACGACAGCAGTTACGCTTTTGAGGCTGAGTGGACCTAGGGGAGGGCCAGGTCCGTTTCAAATAATCGTCAGCGGTGGTGGGCGTGAGTTGGAATGGAACTGGGGTCGCTCAAGCAGCTTAATGACTGTTTGTACAAAGAACATATAAAGAATCGATTATAATAACCAGGCAAGAGTCCACATTATAGACTGCCAGTACACGCACTCAGCTTCATAAGCAGGCTAGAGTGTACATGATAGAGTGGCAGTACGCTCACCGAGCTTAATAAGCAGGCTACAGTGTACATGATAGACTGGTAGTACGCTCACCCAGCTTAATGAGTATTTGTACAGTGAACATTAAAGTAATCGATTGTTGGCGCGTTGGGTTTAAAAGTAATATTAATAGCACACATTGTGGTGGGGGTGTAGTGAAGAGTAGGAAAAACTTTGATGAATTTACCTCAGAGTGGCGTGGTGGGTGTCGAGGCCTAGTAGCGTGCAAAGCCTGCGGCCTCGCCTAAAATTGTCGGCTTGGAAGAGGCAGGGTACGGGTGGCGTTCCTTCCCCCCCCCCCCCCCTAGCGCTCCAACAATACTGTGTAATGGCTATTATTTAATTAAATACGGAGCTTATGAAAGTGGCGAAGGCGTGGCTAGCCGTTGGCAGGGGCAACCGCCGTCCAATGAAACTGCAGCCCTTGGCGAAGGCGTGGCTATCCGTTGCCAGGTCCAATGAAAGCGGCGAAGGCGCGGCTAGCCGTTGCCAGGGGCAACCGCCGTCCAATGAAAGTGCGTATGGGCCAAAGTCCACACACACACACAGACAGACAGACATGAACGATTTTATATATATAGATTGCTCTGAGGAATACACGTCGTCAGAAATTTGAAGAATGTTGTATCGTACACTATGGGAACCTCATTTGCCAGTAAAAATATCATAATTGTTTTTTTACCCTTCTATCTGGCAACAAAACTGACACCTTTTTACAAGGAGTCATGTTTGTATAGACCACAATACTTGTCTCGGGTGTGGACCAATCAACTTCAGGGACAGTGCACATTATCAGAGTTGTGTTTTTTGTTTGCATTATGACTGCAGGTATTGCGGTCTATACAAACATGACTCCTTGTAAAAAGGTGTCAGTTTTGTTGCCAGATAGAAGGGTAATAAAACAATTATCAATGTATCGCTGAACAAAATTTGGTGTGTGTGTGTGTGCATATTTTCTGTGTTTCGCTGGATTTTAGGACTTGGATGAACTGGGAGTCCCAGAAGCCAAAAAGCGACTGCTGCTGAGTGGAATCGAAGAGCATGGTGTGTCCACCACGATCTCCAGCGAGACGACGCTGCAGCGCTCGTCCAGTGAGGAGACAGTCCACCTCAGCTCCGAGGACGACAACGATGACGGCATCGACACCAAGGACGGCATCCGTGCCAAAGTGTTCTCAGCGCTGCGGCCCTCTGGCAGTCATCTGTCCTCTGTCGGCAATCGGTATCGCAAACGCAGCATTGCCAAATACAATTTGCGAGCGCACGCTCGCCAAGCCGTTGACTTTCCTCGTGCTGGCAGCTGGGGAGGCAGTAGCAGCCTGGAGGTGCCCAGGAGCAAGATGCCAAGATTGTCTTCATGCTCTGACATCGAAGAGGAAGAGGGGCTGGAGTGAGGAGAGGAGGGGGGTGATAGATGGATGATGGTGGGAGGTTGTGTGGGCCGTGGGATGCACTTTGTATGAAAAGCCCTTGGGGTAAATAAGCTGGTGTCTTTTGATTTAAAGCTTTTGTGACTGCAGGGATTCATCTTCTTGGTTCTTTCAGTAAAGTCACGGTCGACAGACCTGTTCTCCACCTGAGGACGGCTGCTTGCGTTGTGACCGAAACGTCGTGAGAATAATTTTATGATGTTTTATTGTTATTATTTTATTATTTTCCTTCTACGTGACTTTACCGAAAGAACGACGTTTCGGCCAGAACACAAGCAGCCGTCCTCAGGTGAAGAACAGGTCTGTCGAGAAGACAGAGTCTGTTTTTATTTATTATTATTTTATTTCCATTCTACGTGACTTTACCGAAAGACCAAGAAGATGAATCCCTGCAGTCACGAAAGCTTTAAATCGAAATTCCTTTGAGCTTGCTTGCATAGTTTTTTTTTTTACAGAATACAGTCAATAAAATATAAAGCAGCATCTTGGCTTTACTACCCCAGGCAGGAACTTGTCTCTTCCAAGAAAGAAGTGACTGACTTATCAGTTTTGTTCCTTCTTAATTTTGGAGCTTTCGTGACTGCAGGAATTATTGTTTGTTTTTTTCGGTAAAGTCACGTCTAAAGATAAAACGTGCCGTTTAAGTCATCTGGAGTTGAAATATACAACACGTTTTGTTTCCATGCAGAGGAGATAGCCATGTTCAGAGCCATGTGCTTTTTTGTTGTGTTGCATTTGCTCGACTGTTCAAAGATCGTTTCAAATTTGCATCTTTTGGAAGGATGAATACTAAGTGGGAAGGTTTTTGCAAAATCAGATGTTCTCATACTCCAGGAGATTGTTGTACGGGGCCTGTCTGCTATAACCTACTTGATAAAAACCCCCAAAAAATGCCTAAATAAAAGTAGATTTGTGACATGTTCCATTCTGCAAAGTTTTATAGACTTTGCTGCTGGTAGCAGATGTAGAGAGAACAACACCTGTCTACACTTCATGTTCATGGAACTGTCTTAAGCGTATATATGCAGTGGGTTTTTTAAAATCCTTTATATTAAGTTCGCTTGCTTGCTTGCGTGCTTGCTTGCTTAGGACCGTGCAAATCTTTCGCTCGTTTTTTAACCCACTTTCCGTGATCCAATCGAGCTGACATTTTCCACACAGACTCGTTGTGCCAGACAATTAATGTTCGTGAAAAAAAATTCCCAAAATTTTACACTTTTTAGGCAAAAAAAAAATATTTTACATATATTCAAATAGAACTCATTTATCGCTTTGGCTGAACGTCAGAGTGTAAGAGCCCAGAGCGTAACCCCTCCACAGGCCGTGGCGGAGTAGCGCAGTTGGTAGCGCCCTCGCTTCCCATGCCAAAGGTTGCGGGATCGATCCCCGCGTCCTCCACAGGCGAATATAATTTTAAATCCTTTATATTAAGTTCGCTGCCACGCATATAAAGGATTTATAGTGAAAAACTTTGTTTTTACGGGTTATACTTATTTTAATCCTTTATATTAAGTTCACTTGCTTGCTTGCTTAGGACCGTGCAAATCTTTCGGTCGTTTTTTAACCCACTTCCCGTCATCCAATCGAGCTGACATTTTGCACACAGACTCGTTGTGCGTGAAAATTAATGTTCGTGAAACATTTTTTCCAAAATTTTACACTTTTTAGGGATTTTTTAAAAATATTTAATTACCAATTGCTTAATGGTGGCAGGCAATCATCTGACCCATAGGTGGCAGCCATCTCAAGCCAGAGGACGAGAGGACTCTAGCCGCCACGCATATAAAGGATTTATAGTGAAAAACTTTGTTTTTACGGGTTAATTTTTTGTTACAAGTAGGAACAACAGTTCCCCACCGCCCACCAGGGATTATTTGTCTGTCGTGCATAGCCCCTCCCACCGTGTAGCACGCTCGCGGATTGGTTGAAGTGCGTCACGTGACCGCGAGCTTTCTGCCCAACCAAGTTCCTAGCTGGCCACTGTGAAGGAACGTGATTGTGCTGTGGATTCAGAAACCCGAGTTTGAGGGTGACATCCGAACTGCTGGTTGTTTGGGCGCTGACCACTGGTGAAGTACCCGTCTGGTCACTGCCTGCATCTTGGAGTGGATTGAAAAAGGGCTGTTGATATTATTGAGCTTTGATTAAAAGCCAAAAACCTTTAAAGTACAATTTCAGGAATTGTTTTTCTGGATAAACCACTCGGAAAAAATATATCTAATGTTTGAGTTTGCATACGGAGCCCAAAACCACCTGTACGTTTTGCAATGTGCTTTATATTTTGTAGCAATCACTGCCTGACATGTAAACTGGTACCAGGTGCATACAGCGCATGGGAACGTTCAATTCGAATGCGCAATTCCCTGGAATAGCTACAGTATTGATTTGTTTAAACAAGTTTTGACAATAAAAACAACTCTCTTTGAACCGTTAACACGATCTTTTCTGACGGTGTTTTTTAATCCAATGTGGCGCGATAGAAATATTTTATTTGCCTTCGTACACGAGTCGATATTGACGGAGCGCAAGCAAGTATCACTTTGACGCTGGGGTGGATTGAGCGCAGATGTTTGCGTCAGGGGTAGCTGAGCGAATCGCCGTGTGATAATGATGCCCATATATGTGTCAACCGGGATGTTCTGTTCTGGATCGCAAACAACAAAGCACCTAACACTCACACACACACCTAACACTCACACACACCTAACACTCACACCTAACACTCACACACACCTAACACTCACACACACACAGACTCCTACACACACACACCTAACACTCACACACACCTAACACACCCCTAACACTCACACACACCTAACACACACACCTAACACTCACACACACCTAACACTCACACACACACAGACTCCTACACACACCTAACACTCACACACACCTAACACTCACACACACCTAACACTCACACACACCTAACACTCACACACACACAGACTCCTACACACACACACCTAACACTCACACACACCTAACACACCCCTAACACTCACACACACCTAACACACACACCTAACACTCACACACACCTAACACTCACACACACACAGACTCCTACACACACACACCTAACACTCACACACACCTAACACACCCTTAACACTCACACACACCTAACACTCACACACACCTAACACTCACACACACCTAACACTCACACACACCTAACACTCACACTCACACACACACACCTAACACTCACACACACACCTAACACTCACACACACCTAACACTCACACACTCACACACACCTAACACTCACACACACCTAACACTCACACACACCTAACACTCACACACACCTAACACTCACACACACCTAACACTCACACAGGTGACTGATGGATGAGCGCGAGCGGCGCTTTGTAAACTCGCCTTCATCGTCTCCCTCGCCGACTCGCCGAGTGTTTGTGTTGTTGTTGTTGGAAACGTCCCGACGTCAGATTGAAGCTTGGACGGGCGAGCCAGGGGAAGTTCCAGCAGCAGAAGAAACTCGTCACGTTGCAGACACCGTGTGACGCGTACCACGTGACAGAGACGCCAACTCCCACGTGCCCTTGAATGCCCCTTCTCGGTTCAAGCGGCGCCCGTTCTACACGCACAAACGTGTGATTTTGATGATAAACGAACTAAGGAGCAACGAATAAATAAAACCCGGACGACGCCGTGGCAAATCGGAGTTCTGTCTGCTGCCAATTCTCGTCGGCATCTCTCGCGCAACGCGGATCGCACTGCGCGCGTTCCTCGTCCGTGCCGGCCACGCGGTTGATATCGGCAATAACGACGGAGCGAGACACGGAGCGAGATAAAATAGCCGCCTCCTATAATGTACGCTTCAACTAAAAAACAAGTATAACCCGTAAAAACAAAGTTTTTCGCTCTAAATCCTTTATATGCGTGGCGGCTAGAGTCCTCTCGTCCTCTGGCTTGAGATGGCTGCCACCTATGGTTCAGATGATTGCATTGCACCATTAAGCAATTGGTAATTAAATATATTTTTGTCCTAAAAAGTGTGTGTCAGTGTGTGTGTCAGGCTGTGTGTCAGTGTGTGTGTCAGTGTGGCGAGGAGTGGTGGTGCAGCGGTTAGCGCGCTGCACTACGAACCCGGATCCCCGAGTTATATTCCCGCTCACGGCCAAAACCAGCGACGATTATCTGAACCGGCACTGCGCCTCCCCCGGGTCGACTCAGCCTCAAATGAGTACCTGATGCGGTGTGTAAACATCGCCACTGGGGAGATAAAGGCGGCCGGGCGTGGTGCTGGCCTCCCACCCCCTCCTCCACCGTTCCGGCCTTATAGGTGCTCGCTAACAGCACTTGCCCCAACAGCCTGTGCAGGCTACACGGGTGATCTTTGTCTTTGTGTCTTTGGCGCGCGCCCTCGTTGCCTGCGTCCCCAGAGACACTGCCCCCTCCTCCACGATCGGCGTCGTGACCCCCGAGACCAAACCCGCCCCTCCCCCCCCGTACCTCTCTTGACATTTGTCATTGTCTGTGCGTGATGATATCGGCGCGGGTGTGAGAGGGGGGAGGGGGAGCAGGTCCCAAGATTCTCATGGCCCCCCGTGTCCCAGTGCCCCCCAATCACCCCTCGCCAGCCAGCGACCACCTCCGCTGCAGTCGCTCCAAGCTGCCCACCCCGACCCCCGCTCCACTGCCCCACGCTGGCCTGGCACGGCGCGAGTGTGCAGCACCATCTCCTTCACCTGCAGCTGCGAGGATCAATCGGCAGCGTCGTCTTCCCCGCACCTCCTATGAGCAGGTTGGCAACGTACGGCGCGAAGGAATTTCAACAAACAAATCACGCGCCTCATTCGTGTCGACTGTTAAACCACCACGACTCCCAACCACCACCACCACTCACTCCTCTTCACGGTCACTAACACCGTACGCTCTACTCATCTCAATCTTCATCCACGCAACACCCTCTGGATTGTCCACCACCTCCACTTCGCCACCACACGGAGCCGTGCAGATGGGGGGGGGGTATTGGGGGCATCAGCAGGGACAATTTGCCCTGGGACTCACACAACATTCCCACGTGGCATTCTACCCTTGAGCCCCCAGGATCACGTGGGCGGCCCACAGCCACCACGACCCACCACCAGCTCCTCCTCCTCCGCTCTCTCCATCCACGCAGCCGCGCGCGCTCCGCTCCACGTTGCCCCCTATCATACACACGCTGCCCCCTATCATACACACGCTGCCCCTATCATACACACGCTGCCCCTATCACACACACGCTGCCCCCTATCATACACACGCTGCCCCTATCATACACATGTAGAGGTGATACGCGCTGGGATTAAGGATCGTATGCACAGTGCGTGATGATTGGCTGTGTAGGTGGTGACGCGCGCTGACGGTGGAGGATCAGGGGTCAGCGCGGGGTCGTGGGTTACGGGGTACCGATTGGCTGTGGGCGGTGACGCGCTGAGAGGGAGTGATCAGGTGGCAGCGCAGTGTGATTGGTGGAGTAATGTTAACACGCGCTGGGGAAAGCGGATCGTAGAGAGAGTGCGTCGTGATTGGGTCATTAAGGAACGACGCTCACGTCGACGCCGCATCAGCTCCGTCCCTCGTGAGCAGGGGCTATAAAAGGGGATGCACACAGGCGTAAGGGCAGTGTGTAACCAGCGAAGAAGGAAGACGGGGATGAAGACCTAGAGCCCTGCGGTACCTAGCCCCGCTGTCCTAAGGGGACCGGGACTCTGTGTAACCCAGAGGCGAGTGTAGTGGGTGTAGCCATAGGTCTACACGAGCCGAATGTACTATGTGTAGCCAGGGCATAGGGCTTACACGAGTCGAGTGTATTGTGTAGCCAGAGGCATAGGGCTTACACGAGTCGAGTATATTGTGTGTAGCCAGAGGCATAGGGTCTACACGAGTCAAGTGTATCGGGTGTAGCCAGAGGCCTAGAGCTTACACGAGGTTAGTGGAGTGTGTCGGAGGAAGAAGAGAGACCACACGTTGTATTGTGATACCTAAAGGATTTAATAAAAGTGTGTTACCCGTCAAGAAGTTCCTGCCGTCAATTCCCATACTTCAACTGGCGTCAGAAGTGAAACGGTCCTCCAAGCATGGATACAAGGAGGAACCGTCGGACCCACGGGATTGACCACGAGGACAACCTCGACGACGCGGGCCAGCGGGCATCAGGGGGTGAGGAAGAGGAGCTGCCCACGGGGCAGGATCCACCGACGGCGCCGGTCGAGCGACGGGGGACTGACACCGTGCTTCGCGAGGCACACTCCCGTCTGGCGGAGCTGCTGCTCGCCGCCGCGTCCATCTTGGCGGAGATCAGCTCGTCGGGAGGAGCGGGGACGGCGGCCGACGTGCTACAGGGTCGCCCTGCAGATTCCCGCCAAAACGATTTGGCGATTCCCGCCATTTCATCCGCTCCAACTTTTGGCGGGAACGGCCATCACCACGTGGCAGCGGTTCTCCATGCGCGGCCGCTGACGTCACCAACGCGCGCGGCGGACCGCCATCACACACCCGCCACTGGGGCCGCCATCTTACACACCGACGGGGGGGCAGAGAGGAAGCACGAGGAGGAGGACGACTTTATCTTTCAGCAGCGCCTTCCCACGTTGTCAGCATTCAAGGCGGAAGGCGGGGATTGGAGCCAATTTCAGCGCAGATTTTTGGCGCATCAAGAGATGTCCGCCTGGTCCGACGCTACGGCACTGCGGGCACTGCCTGCCATGCTGGACGACAACGCGCTCGCGGCCTTCACGTCCGCACGCAGGTCGGACCGCTCCACGCTCAAGGATGCGCTGGCTCTCATGGCCAAAGTCTACGGTCCTCCCTCGGCGTGCCGCCATCATTTCTACGCAAGACGGAAGGCGGACACGGAGACCGTGCTCGCCTACCGCACGGCGTTGCTCGCTCTCGCTGACGCCGCGTTCCCTCGTATGGACGAGGAGGGCCAAGATGCGATGGTTTTGGAGCAGCTGCTCAAGTTGGCGCAGGACCTGGGGGTCCCCATCAACACGGCCGACGACACCGATATTTCTTCATTACGGGTCGCCACGAGCATGCAAGCGCACGAGGTCCTTCAACGAAAGCAGGGGGTCGTCTGCAACGCTGCCGTGGCCTCAACTCCGGGTCCGGTTGACACCGTGCCCCAAGTCGTCAGCCCACGAGAGGACGCGTTCATCGCGGGACGAGCGGGGGACTGGAGGTCGGGGGGTCGTTCGCCTCTGCGAGCGGCCCGCAAGCTGGAGCAACCGAGATCTCCGACTACTGTCATCACCTGCTATAACTGCGGCCTTCGTGGCCACGTGGCCTCCGGTTGCCGCGCCCCACGTCAGCGCGCCATGGGACCTCGGCTGGACGACGACCAAGGCCCCAAGTCATCACTGCAAACCCCGGCAAGTCGCGGCACCTCACATGCTTGGCCCGCATACTCGACACGTATGGGTCGTCGCGTTGCGACGAGGGAGAGCCGAGTAGAGTTCGGGGATTCGGTTCGGAGAGGGGGGTTCGGCCGGGACCGGGGAGACATTAAATGGTCGGAATTGGGGCACAGAATAGTGGCTGCCTCAGCGGGTTCATCCGTCGTTACCGGATCGATTGATGGGGTCGAGGTCAGGGTGTTAGTGGACACGGGGGCATCGGCGACTATTATTTCGGATCTCATTTATAATATTCTCCCGGTACAATGTCGTCCGCTTCTTCCGGTGGATGTGCCATTTTACGCCGCTAACGGGGGATCGTTGGGCATTATCGGTCAGATTAGGGCGTCCATTTGCATTGGTGATATCAAATTGTCGGGACCCGTTTTCGTTTCATCTTCCCTGGCGGTTCCTTGCCTATTGGGCACTGATTTTTTGGCGAAAATGCCCATCAAAATTCTCATTGATCAGCGTTGCATTGAACTACCATCGGGTCGCCGTATTTCATTTTTGACGAGCCCTAATGTAATTCGGACGGCGTGCGCTACCATTCAGGCGTTAGCAACACAGACCGTGCACGTGCCCCCGGGTTCACAAATGTTGATTCCCCTCCGGTTACGGAAGCCATGGGGGAAGGAGGCCTCGGAACAGGCCATGCTTTTGGGTCCTTCTAATAGGGCTGTTGGAGGTCTCGATTTATCGGTGGCTCACACTTTGGTTGGGGCAGACAGGGATCCGTTTGTCATGGTTTTAAACGCTGGGGCGCGGCCGGCCGTCATTCAGCAGGGCACCGTGCTGGCTCACGCGGCACGGGTCCCTGCGGAGGAGAGGCTGGTTGCGCAGGCTGATCCGAGCCCCACGAATAGCGTACCATCAAAGGAGGACCTAGATTGGATTGATATGCTGTGCGCGGACTCTGACGATTTGTCAGCGCTACAGTTGGGTGCGTTGCGCGGGTTGCTGATTGAATTTTCGGATGTCTTCAGTAAACATAAGTATGATATCGGATGCACGGACCTGCTACGCCACCACATTGAAACGGGCGATGCGGCACCGGTCAGGCAAAATCCCTTCCGACTGAGTCCTGCTGAGAAGGAACATGTTCAGTCGGCAGTTAACGATATGCTGGAAGCCGACATTATTTCGCCTTCTTCCAGTCCTTGGGGAGCACCTATTGTGCTCGTTAAAAAGCAGGACGGGTCCCTGCGATTTTGCGTCGATTTCCGCCGCCTGAATAAGATCTCGGTGGCCGACGCGTATCCGCTCCCCAGGATGGACGAGTCTCTCGACGCATTGTCCGGTGCGCGATACTTTTCGACTCTTGATTTATTGTCCGGATTTTGGCAGTTGCCACTCGACGAGGAGTCTAAGCCTAAGACTGCATTCCGGACTCCAGGGGGCTTGTTTCAGTTTAACCGGTTACCCATGGGACTTCACTCCTCTCCTGCGACGTTTCAGCGTCTTATGGAATTGGTTTTGTCGGGCTTGCAGTGGGAGACGTGCCTCATTTACCTTGACGATGTCATTGTTTTCGGTAAAACGTTCGAAGAACACCTCCAGCGATTGAGAGGGGTGTTCTTGCGAATGCGATCGGCTAAATTAAAGTTTAAACCGGCCAAATGCCATCTTTTTCGTAAATCCGTGAGGTACTTGGGTCACATTGTCGACTCTTCGGGGATTTCTACCGATCCTGCGAAGACGGACTGTGTCAGTTCGTGGCCGACGCCCACGTCAGTGTCAGACGTGCGCAGTTTCATCGGTTTTGCTTCGTATTATCGCCGATTCGTTGAGCACTTCGCCACCATTGCAAAGCCCTTGCACGCTTTAACGGCAAAAGGAGTGAAGTTCCGGTGGGGACCGGAGGAGGAGGCTGCATTCTGCTCCCTCCGGGACGCCTTGGTAAGGGCCCCACCCTTGTGCTATCCGGACTTTGAGAGTCCCTTCTTGCTAGACACGGATGCTAGCAACACGGGCATTGGGGGAGTGCTGTCCCAAGTCGTTGGAGGGGTCGAACGGGTGGTCGCCTATGGTAGCAGGGTGTTGTCGCCGGCAGAGCAGCGCTACTGCGTCACCCGTCGTGAACTACTTGCCATTGTTTTTTTTGTACAACAATTCAGGCCATATCTCTATGGTCGTCATTTCACGGTCCGGACGGACCATGCGGCGCTCCAGTATTCATTACGGGTTGCCCAGCCCTCGGGCCAATTGTCGCGGTGGTTGGAAGTCCTCCAGGACTATCAGTTCACGACTACGTACCGTAAAGGGTTGCGACACACGAATGCCGATGCCCTGTCGCGGTTGTTGCCTTGTCACAAATGTGCGTGCTTATCGGGATCGGCGCGCTGTAAACCTCCGGTT